CCCCAAAACCCCAAAACCCCATGAACATTCAAAATGTTAATCTTAATAGATATTGATAAAATAAAAATATTACAATTATATCTATCTTTTACTTTTTATCATTAAAACTTCACTTTGAATTTTGATCATTTATAATCCATCCAAATGTCTAAATATCCCTATAGTTATTAAGCCATGAAGAGGAGTAACAATCATAACCAAAGAATTTAATAGTTTTCTTGTGGATATTTCCATCTTAATTCTTTATCTTAATGGGCATCTCTATTGTTTCTGAAAAGTTCTGACTAATCAGTATATCTTGATTATCATCAGTGTTAATGTGATTATAAACAATAGCAGCAAAAATCATCGGCCCAGTTCCATACATAGTCAAGCCATTTGAGTGCTAAGCACATTTGCTATAGTGGAAGATGCTTTACTCATCCTTCATAGAATAAACGAATTTTATGTAGTTTAAGTAATTTAGAATAATTTTATGCCCTTATTTAGCACCGATTATTGCATTTAGTATTTCCATCTTCAAAGGACTGATAGCAAAGAAATCAAAGTAGTAATTCAATTCATAATCCCACTCTACCAAAATGAAATCATTGTCAAAGTAAATCCCTCCGTATTCGAAGAGAACCAATACTCAAATGAGATCGCTAGCAGCAGCCACAGCTTTGAAATCTTGAAGATAATAATCAAATTGTCTTTTAATGCCAATGTCGAATGATTCTAATTCATTAATCTCTTTAATATTAACTCCTAATTCCTATAATAATTTTACTGTCTCAGGTATTATACTCTTATCTTGCACCCACATATAATGTGTCCAAGTAATCCCTTTTTATTCTGCAGTTTGATCCAAATTCCAATATATAAACTCAAATTAATCTAGTAGGTGTTATGGAAGCTATAATGTTAGTTCCTATGGATTATTTTAATCAGTTATCCAAACTCTGTGAGTAATATATGGTATTCTGGGTTGTTAGCTTTTAATAAAAAATCAGTCAAAGTATTAATTTGGATCAAATCATTTCTCAATCATGCTAAAATATTAGTAATGTTGATTCAAGTCATAGATATTCTAGGATTTTAAGTAATGTCTGCTATATTCTCTTGTAATGAATCTGTACTCATTAAAAAACATATCCTTAGGATAATAGCAAAATCCTAAAAGATTTGGTACAATGTGAGCTATCAAGTTCAGTCTTCTTTTTAGTTCAGATATTTCTATTTAGTCTCATCCAAATTATACTTTTTGGCTAAGTTATCTAGCTTACTTAATAACTATAAGTGAGAGGAAAAATAAACAAAGTATTTGCTTCATTAATTTCATTTTATAAAATTGTTTATTTGATTTTAATTCAACACTCTCCAAAGGGGTTTTGGGGTTTTGGGGTTTTGGGG